TTGCAATTGAATATTATTTTGATTATACAGTTATGATTATGTAGGCCAAAAACTATAGAACCTTGACCGACTTATATGTGTATACGTACGTACGAGTATTCGGCGTGGGTCAGTCGAGTAATTTAGAAGATTAAGTTTAAGAAAAACCATTATTTATTGCATAGTAATTGTATATAATCAAACAATAAGAGCTTGCTAGTTTATTTGCGTATAATTTATAAGCAAACTTTTTATAGGAGCTACAAAAGGCGTAAAGAGAATTGTACTGGAATAGGCGCCTATTTACCTTTTTTTATTTTGACCACAAAATTAGGACAAAGACATGTTATAACAACAATACATATAGAAATATTAAAATTGTGTTATCCTACAGACACGACAAATAATTCTAAAAAAGACCAAAAATACGACTTAAGTAAAAATATGTACATATAATGTATCCAAGCTTTGAAAGGAGATTTTTGTTTAAAACAAGAAGACAGAGCATAAAAGCCAGTGGCGCCATTACCGTACACACTACGTGATATTAAAATATGAAAAATAGCTATTTACGGAATAGGATATTAAATTCACAAAAAAACTTTAGTGTAAAAATAATATTGTGATTCATTGGACTGGCCCAATTATTGTAAAAAAATAATAGGAAAAATATTAGCTTGAAGCTTTGTACTATTATTTAGATTGTGTGTACTTTTTATCTACAACCGGTGGTTTTATTGTAAAATCTGATTATAAAAATTAAAAATGTGAAAATTTTTAATATTTCTTTTTATGTTTAATCAAATCAAAAATCATTTATTCATTATGTAGTATGTACACTTATGAACGTCAAATATAGACCCTATTATGCGAATAAGAAATACTTTATTAAATGTGTGTAAAGTGACTAAAGTTTTAATAGATATACCTATATCATAAATAAACCATATTTGTGTCAATTTATTTATAGTGAATTGGTAAAAGTATGGCACTTATTGTCCAAGAAAGCTACAAAACCAGCTGAATATGAGAGATATGTAATATTACACTAGACTTTTTGAAGTTATACTTCTTTAGGCGGGTTATGAAAAATTTATGAGAGTGAAATTTTACGATGCGCGCGCACCGTGACACAAAATTATCAGTATGGGCGCCGAGCGTGCGCGAGCGAGATGGGAATAAGACAATGTACAAGTAAAAAGAAATAGAATATGCGTGACGTTAGCAGCTATGCCAAGAATTTTGAATGACCATAATGACAGTTGTAGTAGGTACCTTTTAAACAAATAAAGGGGGTTTAATTATTTTTTCAAAGAAATTTAGCAATGCTTTTTCACAAAGACCTATTGTTACTTAGTTAAAAGGTTATGAAACATACCTAGTTGTTAAATTGAATTAATAATATAATACAATAATAAATAATAATAATTATTAATATTAATTAATAATTGAATAATATACTAAATATTAAATATTGTTTCATTATTAACGTTAAATATTTACTATTAATTTTTTTAATATTTTAAAAAAATAAAGAAAGAAAGCCAAAGAAGTATAACTTCTTACGCGCGTACATAATAAGTACATGCACCATTTTTATTGTATAAGTTAGCTTAACTCCTGAATACCAATGTACAAACAGTCAGTTTCAACTTATATATATTAAGTATACACTCACTTATGTCAATGTCATGCGCTTTATAATTAATATCAAGGCCATTTACCATTCTAACTTCTGCGAACAAATTGCAATACTTCGTTCACACAAGTAAACGACGAAGTTATGGACAGAAAATCCTGGCACTTATGTCTTTTTATATATATATATATATATTATGTATAGATTCGTATTTCAATGAACTAATCATGCAGATAAATCGTAATTTTATCCAGCAGTGCGAAGTGTAATAAAATTACAAGTTAAAAAATATGGAATAAATATTACATAATTTCCTGTATTGAAAACATGACAGGTATAATTATGCTTTTTTTCCACAGCCTATCTTCACCACTGGTATTACCATTGCTAGCTGAGGTTTGACTATGAGAAGGGAAACCTCCTTTGCCCACCAAAGCAGAAGGACCAATTCACAATTATATTTAAAAAATCTAAATATTTTCAAAAAAAATAATCCTACTTTAACTATCTCTCTATTCAATTTCGATGAAGACAGCTTATGAAAATTATATGTGGGCTACTATTATTTCGTTTGCTTAGTAATATAAAGCTATATATAGCATCAATACATACATTATTTAATTAAATCATTTAATTTCGATCTGTATACAAAACTGTTTAACTATTATCCAACAAACCTATGACAATTATTGTTAAATCATGTCACGGTGACAACACCGTGAAAATTAAGTACTATTATAATTTTCTTCAAAAATTTCCCGTAACAACAGTAATTAATTATGTCAATTTATATTAGGAAGTCGATCTTTTATTCATTTTAGTAATCGGAGCAAGGTTTGTACTTTTACCTCGAGAAGCCTCACGCATACAAAAGATTTAAATGGACCACTTATTACAAATTGACCCTGTTTCAAAAAAGGCTTTTATATGCCATTCTTTTGATAATATATTCCTATGATATAAGCAGTATCAGGCCAGTGTGGTGTTTCCAATACTTTGACCACGCATATTGAATACGCGGTAAACAAATATTTGACAGAAGCCATTGAGGATTGCTATGAAAGAAAACGTAAGGAAACCGGCAAGACTAATAACCAAAAATCGACAACATATGTCACGCAAACGTACTAAAAGCCTGGTGTTCTATGGCTATCTCTTTGGACTGCAGTTTCACATCTCAGAAGTCGGATCGTAAAGGCTGTTAATAAAATAATAATCAAAAAGCCCGCAGAATAGTAAGAATGAAATCAAATTAAAATTTAATTTAATCATATATGTAATATGTATGCACACTTATGCGTCAATATTTAAAAAAATATATTTAAGATAGATTTGCTTTAATTCACACCGATTTAGGCTTAGTAGCGTTTCGAAAAAATTTACAGTGAAGTAGAAATTAATTAGGATTATTATTACTATGCTAATAACACGTAGACCAACATGAAGTAAAGAAGTAGGCACGAACACACGAATATGACAGCGTTTACTCCATTTGAAAGAGACAGTGTAAGAGTGCAATTAGTCTGATTTAGTTCTCATGTATAAGGGGGGATCCTTAGCGAAGTGAACATGTTTATTTACGGAATAAATTTGTGCGTAAATATGATCTTATAAGTTCGACATGTACGCAACAGTAAATACATTTCAAAGTCGATCGGAATTACGCATTATAATATTATTACAATATTGACCTCCACTTGTTATACGGAACATAACATTGCGTGGTTGAATATAAAAATAAGTTGTCATTACACAATATTTACTTCCTTCCTGATTTTTAAATAAGAGATTTTAAACTCGATAAGATGAAAATGAAGACAACAAGTACGCAAATATGTAGGTGTTGGCGAAATATACATCAAAGGAATAATAATTGTTATTAACTTGAAACAACAAACAGGGTTTTTAACTTAGAACCTTTTTATAGCACGAGAAAAAGTGCCGCATCTAAGAAGGCTCTTTACGGACGTTGTTAGAATGCACTTGTGTCATAATCATATATTTCATTAAAGAAATCAAAACATGCTTTGATCAATATGACGACAAATAATTCAATGTTATCTAAGTGTAAGTCACAAACGGGTTTTTGAAATTGAGCTTGAAACCTACACGTCACATACAAATCCTGTTCAGTTGAATTACGGAGCCGGACCCGCCCACAGGCAAATGTATCAATAATATTTATGTATCTACGTATATTTTTATCTGAGCTGACAACGTAGATCTGTATAGTAGTTCCGCAGTACGCGGTAGTCTTAGCTATGAGGAAAATACATGTAATCAATATGTACGTTTTAAAAACTTATATGAATTAATTAACCCAATTGAACTGTGAACATTTGTCTTCCGATAAATATGTATATTTATAAGCTTTTGACCCTAGTAGATGATTTTTTTTAATTAAGCATAATAAACACGTGGTACTGCAATCCTTTTATGCCTTAGATAGCATCCGTTTCTTTGATATATTTTTTTTGTCATAAACAAATAAGCGATCAGTCTTCTGTCTGACCTGTCGTTGATTTTTAATTCGACACCTGCCGGTTCCTCACGATGTTTTCCTTCTCCGTACGAGCGAAAGTTAGATGCGCACATAGAAAGTCCATTGGTACAGCTTGGGATCAAACCTACGACCTCAGGGATGAGAATCACACGCTGAAGCCTACTAGGCTAATACTTCCTAATTAATAATATAATTATGAAATACAAAGGTATTAAGGATATGCCAAGAATTTAACTCCGTTAACAAGTAACAGTCACCAGTATACGCGGAACTACATAGTTATTAATTCTTATTATTAACGCGCTTTAAGTTCAAGTGAACTAAGCTTTTCTTTGTGAACCTAGTCTGCTACTGTCGAAGTTAACAAGGCTACCTTTCTATTCACATTCTCCGCATATAACCTAAACGAATTATAGGACTAGAACTAAGTTTCAAAATCTATTACGAATTATGAAATCTAGGCATGGCAGTAACACGAAGTTGTTTAACTACAAATAACTATGTAAGCAATTACCCAATTCTAAATATTTATTTAATTAATATTAATGAATTCAGTATTTTTTAAGAGTATATTTTTTAAACACACAAGTTACCAAACGATTCTATCTTCACATAGGTGAGGTCTACAATTGTTGCGCACTACATACCTCGACCACGAAATTCTTTCGTTATAACCGCCATTCGCAACGAGGTCATACATTTTATTGACATCTGACATTGTTCTAACTTACCGTCCATTTGCCCACTGAAATTGCCTTACTTTTTAATTATATCCGGGCCGTATAAATAAGGCTGAGGGCGAGTCGAATTTATCAGTCGGCCGTGCACGGTTTGAAGTGATCTACTAAGTTCGTCAGCAAAACACAGACCACGTTCATTATGCAATCGCTGGTGGTGTTATTCGCTCTCGCCTCCGTGGCATGCGGCTCTTACATCCCTCTGGCTCAGCCAGCACATCATCCCGCAATTGTGCTGGACCCTCACGGCCGGCCCTTGGATACCGCCGAAGTGATCCACGCTCGTGCTGCTCATCTGCAAGCTAAGGCTCTGGAGCCACACGCAGCCGTCGCAGTCGCTCACTCCGTGCTCGCCGCTCCCGTCGCCCACTCAGTGGTTGCCCCCGCCTTGGTCGCCGCTCCCGCCGCCGTGTCTCACCAGTCCCGTGTTGATGTCCGCACCAGCCCCGCCGTCTACGCACACGCCGCACCCTTAGCCGTAGCCGCTCACGGTGCATACGCCGCACCCTTATCGGTAGCCGCTCACGGTGCATACGCCGCACCTCTCCTCGGTCACTCCGCTCTCGGCTACGCTGGCCACGGACACTACTTGGGCAAACGTTCTCTGGGACACATCGCCTACAGCGCCCCCATCGCCGTCCAGGCCTACCACGCTGCTCCCGCTGCCGTGTCTCATCAATCCCGTGTGGATGTTGTGTCCAGCCCAGCATACGTATCGCACTCCTACGCCGCCCCAGTGTTTGCCCATGCTGCTCCAGTCGCCATCGCTCCTTCTGCAGTCTCCCATCAGTCCCGCGTTGATGTGCGCACCAGCCCCGCTGTTGTATCCACCGTTGTCGCTGCACCCGTAGCGCATTCCGCTGTCTACGCCGCTCCCCTCGCGCATTCCGCCGTATACGCTTCCCCATTAGCGCATGGTGCCGGACATTACGCACATGGCTGGTAATTTAGCGAAAACTGACGAACTCCTAAGATTATTTGTACAATACTCATATAATATTTATAAATCAATAAAAAAAATAAGATATAAACAATTTTTGTAGTTTTAATACATCGGCATTGACTTCATTTTGATTATAATAACCATGAGTCTTAATTTATTGAAGATTCTTATGCCTCTTGTTTAAAAATATACCGAATTAAAAAAAAATACTATTATTTATTTTTTATTAACACTTTTTTGCAAGCGATTTCTTCCAGGCAACCATAGTATGGAAAAAAAAATAATACTAAGAGTGTGCAAAAAGAGACCAAATTGTTAAAAATAAAATTACAAATAACAATGTAGACTTATACAATTACCAAACTACCATCTAAAATAAAAAAATAATAATTGCGAATCTTAAGAATGATGAATCACAATTAAAGCTAGGTTCCATAATGCAATAAAAATAATATATGTAATTGAAATTTAAAATATTTGTACAATAGTAGTATAAATACAAAGGTCACGACTGAACAGATGGAAAGAATATGGTTAAGAAGTTTTGATCGTATGGGATAGGGGGGACCGTATTCCATAACTTCATGGTGGAGAGCCATGCGCCTTCTAAATGCCTAAAAATATGAGCTGTGAGATGGAATTTTCAAAAATAATATTTCACATAAAATATTACTTTTGCTTTTTACTATAAATCAGATTTACTTTACATCAGAATAGCAACACGCCTGCGTGTGTTCTTTTTTAAAGTATTGAGAGAAGCTCAAAAAAAGCTCAATGATGTGTTGCTTTCGTGCAATTTAAAAAACAAATAAATATGACAAAGGCTTTTTAAAAATCGTTATAAAATAGATAAACCTACATTAAAATTTACGTCTGCTTATCGTAGCTATTCTAGGCATTATTATTACTATAAAATAACATGTGTCATAAAGCGTTCACGTAATTTCATATTTTAAACAAAGATTTTGTTTTATGCATTAAAATACCTTAAAAAATGAAACATACCACCCTGTAATCAGCTCTCTGAGAAGTCATGTTTTATAATTAATTTAAATTAATATTCACAACATTGTTTAACTAAATTATATTATATATAATACTAGCTGATCCGGCAAACGTCGTTTTGCCATGTAAGTATATCATTTATAATAAAAAATAGGGGTTGATCGTAGAGGGGTGAAAATTAGGAGTTGTATGTATTTTTTAATGCTGTATCATAAAAAAATAAAAATGTATCTAAAAATAAAAATAAAAAATAATTTAAGGGTGGACTATCCTTAAAAAAATAGATGTTGTCCGATTCTCAGACATCCCCAATATACACACAAAATTTCATGAGAATCGGTCAAGCCGTTTCGGAGGAGTTTAACTACAAACACCGCGACACGAGAATTTTATATATTAGATATATATAATTAAATATGTTCAACATTAAAAATGATATAAATGTAAATGTTACCATTTTACTATAGTAAAAGAACTAAGTTCATTTTATGGCAAAAAATATGATAAATACTACTACTACCTACTAGGCTACTTTAAACATTATCGTGCGATAGGTATATAATATGGTAGGTGGACCTTCACCTAGACCAGACGAGACCTAGACCAGAACCAAGACGTTCTTTTTAAGGACATAAACAGCACCCATAACCAGCGATCGTCTGAGATTTATTATAAATTTAGACCACAAAATTAGGACAAACTCATTTCATAGCAACAAATAGAATATTTAAATTGTGCCGTCCTTATAATATGTGGATATGACCAGCGAACTTAAATAATTGTACAAAAAAGAGTTAAAAACTACTATAAAAGAAGGAAGAAAATTAAAAACTACCTTGCGAAAAGACAAAGTATGAAATTATTGAATGAAGAATTAAATTGTCTCTACTGTGTCTTAATTTTAGTTTTAGCCGATGCTAGACACTTTCAGCCTTAAGTTATCAAGATCCTTGATAGCCTCCATCCTAGATTGTACAAATATTTCATTAAAAATTACTGACTACTTTTGTCCTTTTTTTATTTGTCATCGTTTATCTATATTTTACTTTTATTATTGATATAAATATTCTCAGTATAAAAGTACCTCCATAAAATATTAACACTTCGCAAAACAAAACTAACACAGTTTAAAAATCGAACTATTGTAAAAAGAACTTTTCTCAAAGTAACCTCGGAAAGAGATCACATGTGTATTATGATGCAAATCGTGTTTTATAATTTTTGCGGAGGGTGTAAACAAAGGATATTAAAAGATTAAATTTTATTTTCATTGTTTTTATTATTTTTTTATAAATATTTATATTTAGTATCGAGAATTCGTCAGTTTTCGCTAAATTACCAGGCATGGGCGTAATGTCCAGAACCATGTGCTAATGGGGCAGCGTATACGGCAGAACGCGCAAGGGGAGCGGCGTAGACAGCAGAATGCGCAAGGGGAGCGGCGTACACAGCGGAATGCGCTACGGGAGCAGCAACAACGGTGGACACAACAGCGGGGCTGGTGCGCACGTCAACGCGGGACTGATGGGAGACTGCAGCAGGGGCGATGGCGACTGGGGCAGCATGGGCAACTACTGGGGCGGCGTAGGCGTGTGAAACATAAGCTGGGCTGGACACAACATCCACACGGGACTGGTGAGACACGGCGGCGGGAGCAGCGTGGACGGCGTGGACGATGGGGGCGCTGTAGGCGATGTGTCCCAGAGAACGCTTGGCCAAGTAGTGTCCATGGCCGGCGTAGCCGAGAGCGGAGTGACCGAGAAGAGGTGCAGCGTATGCACCGTAAGAAGCTACAGCTACGGGAGCGGCGTGAGCGTAGACGGCGGGGCTGGTGCGGACATCAACACGGGACTGGTGAGACACGGCGCCGGGAGCGGCGACCAAGGCGGGGGCAACCACTGAGTGGGCGACTGCCACGGGAGCGACTGCGACAGCTGCGTGTGACTCCAGAGCCTTAGCTTGCAGGTGAGCAGCACGAGCGTTGATCACTTCGGCGGTATCCAATGGGCGGCCGTGAGGATCCAGCACAATTGCGGAATGGTATGCTGGCTGAGCCAGAGGGATGTAAGAGCCGCATGCCACGGAGGCGAGAGCGAATAACACCACCAGCGATTGCATAATGAACGTGGTCTGTGTTTTTTTACTGACGAACTAAGTAGATCACTTCAAAACCGTGCACGGCCGACTGATAAATTTGGCGCAGTATCAAGGGTATTTATACTGACCGTGCGTAATTAAAAAGTTTTCAGTCTTAGAACAAAGTTAAGTATCAATGAAATTACCGACCTCGTTACATTCAATGTCGGTCATACATTTTAAGGAAATATTATGTCGTAGATATATGTAAAACGAACAATGAAAGTCATTGTTTGGTGTTTACATTAATGAAATCTAAACCTTTAAAGTAGAAAAATGCAAAAATAAAGTACTATTTCACAGAGTAGATTTTTTTTATTCGCCTCATTATTATTTTAATGCAATGCAGTCGTAAAATTGTGACCGTCTGTTGTGTGTATACAATAATAACATGAAACCTTAATAATTATTATGTTTAGGTTTATTTAACACATCCAATACGCAAGATAATAATATAAAATAGTGATTCTTCTTTGTTATTTTTACGCCGCCAGAAAACCGAGTTTTATAATACACGTTCATAATAATGTAGCAATAGACAATAATCACAATACCATTGTTATATTAGTGATCTGTTTCATAAAAATAACTACGGAGAATGCTAGAAAAATGTTACGACAATATATGTAATTACTACAACATAAATATTCGATAAAAGTAAAAAAGAAAAAAAATAGCTAACATTGTGAGATATACTACGCATCTGTTTGCCTAATCCTTCAAACGTGCGACTCAAAACACAGAGGTTGTGTGTTCGAATCCCGGTTCTGGACCAATACATTTTACTTTCTATGCACATTGAACAATTAACAGGAGGAAACCAACGATATCACAGATAAAACGTGTCAGATACAGAAGGCTGATCACCTGTCCATGTAAAAAAACGCTATAATTTGAAGCTAAGATCCATATAGAATCGTGACGACTAGATTTCTCGCCTCTAGATTTTCTACTATGTATGATTTTCGTTTATTTCTATCCCTGTCGCAATTATATAAGTCAGTTTGTACTACATATTTTTAAATTTTCGATTTATTTCTTAAAATCGAGAGAAACTGATAAAAAATTATTGTAATTTTTATCATAGTTATGGTAATATAATTTCTAATATCTGTCGACATTAATGTTGATCATTAAAGATAATAAAACCAAAAAGAATTGAGGTCGATTGTATAATTGAATATATATAGGAATATAGACGAAGTTCATAATGAACATCGACTACTTTTATATAAATAGTACTTGAATTAAAAATTAGTCATTAGATTAATATTAATCTTTAATTAAGGTGTGTAATTTTATCAACATACTACAGTTTACTATAGAATTTTGTAAGTCAACAAACAAAATTTTTAAAACGCACTTCCGTGGTAATTTTTGTATATACATTAATCATATATTCATCAATACAAGTGAAAGGGCAATGTCAAAGTATCTTGAGAAAGTAAACGTCCTTGTTCTGTGCTGTTTTAAATCTATATTTTGTTGTATTTTTAATCTGAGGCGGACTTGCTACAAATTATTATGAATTATAGTAACAACTATTATTATAGGTGGGAATTTATTTTAGCATTTCACTGTTAATTCAGCCAATAGAAATAGGCTTAATAATACATTGAAATAATCGTTGAGTTTTTGATTTTCTTTAAATAAATTATAAATTTTTCTGACCTTGAAAGAGTTCGTTTAATTTAATTATTTTGACACACATTCTATTACAAATTACTAATGCTGAGTTATTTCAAACCGTGCAATCGTGAAATACTTTTTTTAATTACTTTAAGTACCAAAGAAAAACATACATTATTCTTGCAGATATTTTTATTTTAGCTTAGATGCATAATTAAAAAGCGTAGACTGGGTGAACATTGACGACTGGAGACACGAACTGATGTGACACTACAGCTGGGGAGGTCTTGACGTCCACACGAGATTGATGGGAGACAGCAGAGGCACCCTGGTAGACCGCTGGGGTAAGGTAAACGGAGCGGGCATCGACAACGCTTGGGACAGTCTCCACCACAGCTGGTGCCACAAGGTGTTCCGACACGATGCTTGGGTATGACTTTACGTCAACTCTAGACTGGTGGGATACTGCACTGCCCCCAACGTAGGTCTTCTCTACAGGTACGACCACGGATTTGACGGCTGGAGCAACTACGGGAATGCTTTCAACGATTGGTGACGTATAGTAGGCTTGAGAAACTACTGGAACTACCTTTCCGTCTAACCGGGACGAATGGGAAACCGCTGGTACAGTGTAGAAGTTCGGTGATACAACTACTGGTTGAACTGCCTCCGAGACCAAGATCGTTGATCTTTTGTCTTTAGGTGCACCAGCACACAGAGCGAATAAAACGCTGAACACCACCAAAAATCTCATTTTGAGCGAGGTCTGTGTTCTGTTTTGAAATCACCACAAAAATATCTGCTAGACTGACGTTATTCGGGTGAAGCGCTCTATTTATACACCCACTAATTTATTTTACATCCTCACATTAAAGTTGAGGCAGATAGGACATGTGGGCGTCCTTGATCATCGGTTTTCTAGCGATCTGTATTCTTATTCTTAAATTTGTGCTTTTCTTAACTTAATTTTGAGATTATGACCAATCGAAGTGTGTGTTCGATTGTGTATAAACTTATGCATTGCTTGAGGTGTATTGTCAATGTGTAGCCTGCATTTCAAAACATACCTATATAATAATTCTATTAGAATAAGTAGATGTATATGTATAGACGGTGTGCTTTTTTTGTAGAACAGAGGGCAGGAGGCTCATCTGATGTTAGTGCTCATGGACTCTCTCAATGTCAGAGGGCTCGCGAGTGCGTTGCCGGCCTTTTACGAATTGATAAGCTCTTTTCTTGAAGGACCCTAAGTCCTTTAGAAATGTGGATATAATACGTAACTAAAATTATATTTAAGGTAATTAATATTAGGTTTTTAGGTTGCTTATTCGTAAATCACAAAAAAGTCGAAAAATTATCCGATATACGGAACACTTAAATCAAAAATTTTACATAACTTATATGGAAACAACAAATCTCCTAACAGCATACGTGACATTTAATAATTACATAAATTGTAATTTATTAAGGGCGTATTAAAATATCCGCAATTAAAAATGGTATTTGGAATTAATTTATAATGGACATAATTATATGGTGTGTTTAGAAAAAAACTTATGATTATGATCTCGTGTATTATTTCTTGATGCCACCAACAATTGTCTGTGAGTTAATCACGATTTTTTTGCTCCGAATCCACTACTATTTATGATTAAAAGTGTCTCTTGTCTTTAAATATTCATACATGTTATAAAGGGCTTCTTCTATATAGAAAACAACAACTTTATTATTATAATGCGTCGTCTGAGGAACTGTGACACACAATATTATAACTATAATAGAAAGTAACAACTTAATTTAACGAAAATAATATTGTCTAAAGTATATTTAAGTGCGTTAATAATTCCGATATTAAAAACTCTATCTTAGCCAATGCAAAAACTGAAATGCCTGCCATCTAGTAATCTTATAAGATACTGTTAAAAATATTAAAGTTGAAAGAACATTTACTTCACGTTAAGTTACAAGAACTGTTCCTTGGAAGGTTCGACTGTTACGCTATTAATATTACACCCCACTAGATGGCGCTAAAACCTACTTTTTCTTTCAATAGCCTTTACACACTTTTATTTTTTGACTGTTGACTTATTAGCGTTATTTATTGAAAATATTTTTTTATATACTTCATTAGCCGAAACTATTTTTTTATGTCTTCCTTTTACTTATTCAACTTATGTTTGTTTAAAATGTATCTCAATTATTCATATCAAACATAGGGGACGCTGTTCCATTAGTAGTTTTTGATGGTCATATCATCTAGCTTCAAAGAATCGAACCCAAAATCTTCAGTTTATACACCAAGAACTATTAAGCTACTAAGGCAGCCAGAGTCCAAGACACACCTATGTCCTTTTAATTAATGTAGATATATTAATAGAATATATTGTTCTCAAGAATAACAATACCGAGTCTTGTATGATATAAATCAGTTATTTAATTGGTGGAAAAAACTTTATTCCAGAACGCAAACCTGAGTCCTTGTCGGGAACCTTAGGGAAACCCAATACGTAACATTGGTACAGTCAAACAATCGACCAAATGTAGGACATCAATAATTTAATCGGCACAGAAAAACATGAGAGTCGTCATTCATCATTAAAACTTATAATTAAGTAATTTGACAGTAAGCTAAATAAGATAAGATACTATATTTTCTTACTTACAATTAGACACATGGAGTTTATATTTAATAAATAAATAATAAAATCTGGTGGAACCACCACCAGCCTTGTGTGTAAAAATTTTGGGTAGAATTTTTCGAAAACCTAAGAAACGTGCATTACATGAACGTTATATTAACTGCTGATGCACTCATAGAAATTTAAATATCTGAATTAAAAAAAGTACAAAATTTTCAAATGCTGTCTACATATTAATGAACAACCTGGCCGCAACGTACATAATAACAATATCGTAGTATGAATCAAGACTAGAATAAATAATCCACACAAATTCTTTAAATTTTTAAGTATATAGATTTCTAGATATATTTATTACACATACCACCACACCACATATATTTCATTTTCTACACTCTACACTTCCAACTACAATATTTTCAATTACAGTATTCTCCATCACCAGAAACCTAAATGCATACAAATATCAGAACAATTATAAAAACACCTTTTAGTTCGAGAAATAGTAAATAATTCAACTCCACGTATACTTTGTTCTTAATGTTTGACCTCCCTAGTCAGTTACTGCAACACTAAGGCGCAGTTCGGAAAACCCCCAATATCACTTGCAATAGCAAAATTTGCTACTTTTTATTAGACTAAACGCGAATTTAATAATTTCAAGAAACGTTTAAGATTGAATCGGGCTTATTGTTTTAAAGTAATATACTTTACTTATTACTAACTTTATATTGCTATATTTCATAAGTCTTCCTATTTATCGTAATTTTTTTCATTAGGTATGTCCTGATGAGGTTTTGAGAGTTTTAATTTAGGTTTAGATTTAATATTGCGTTTAAATTTGCTTATCTACATATAAATTACAAAATTTATTTACATATTTTTAAGTTCCAGGACTTATAAATGAACCCATAAATGAATAACATTGCAAGATCAAATTTACACCGTATTACATCAAATTAGGTTCACTTATTTAAGTGTGTGTCGCCTTTGATTATAAAATGAAAATCTGTTTTGTTTTTTCTGTTCTGTTTCTGTTTGGAATTTTTAATTAAATTTTTCCTCCCATTTCAGATTTGAGAAATAATTGGGTTCGTGTTACAAATATTTTTATTACAAACATTGATGAAGTGTACATTGACCGGAACATCCCGGTCATTGCATCGTATCATGCCTATGCACTTTAGTACAACAACAAAATTTCGGTACCGCAATATTACGACATATCTGTAACTTGAAGATTAGATACGGTTTCTTAAGCGAAGATTCGTTGAGAATCTTTCAAGCAATATCTTCTACTTCCGAATAAAAATCGAACAATCGAAACGTGGTTTTTAAAATATAATTCGTTCGAAACAAAACGTCAAAATTTTCAAAATGGTTAGATTTCGATCGACATTTATGTAGAGCGTCCTAATAAAATCAAATTTGAATTTATTTCGCTAGGCAGGATTCACATACAATCATAACCTTCTCAATCAGATCAATAATATAAGTGCCGCAATACAAAGCTGAAGCAGAATCATACGCGTTAATGTTACAAAAGCTGTTTGCAAAACTGTATTTATTTTATTAGTTATAATTGTTTACTATGCCTTATATGTAGCAAGAAACGTTGCCAATCCGAGGACCTAATACCCTGGTACTTCAGCACCATACTACAGAACTCATGTCTTACTTTTTACACAGAGACAGATTATAAATTAAAATAGGTAGTTCATAAAGGTATTTTATTTAATTACAATTACTGTTTTGACATGTTGAGGAGCATGATATGGTATATATAACGGTTGCAGTTACTTTACAAACGTTTTGGCCTTTTTCAAATTTGCCGATTTAAGAGTTACTTGCCAGTTCTTCTCGTTCCTTCTACGCCCTTGATTTAAGAACTGGCAGAAAATGTAAATTAAGAATCATAAGTTTTTTGTTTTAACATTAAGTTACCTACACGAATAGAATTTTCACGCATTCAGATAATCTGCATAAGTTTATTCTTAACAGCATATCGATGAGTTGAACAAAGATGATGAAGATAATAAAGATGTAAAACGCAAATATTGTTACTTTTTTTACGTACCTATTTAAAATTACATACACTATAATCTTACAGTACACTCATATTGCTAGTTTCGCAAACATTACATTAGTGTCATCAACTGAAGCAGAAAGCATAAAAGAAATGTTGCTTTATGTGATTATTTGTTATATAACTATAGTTTACTAAAGTGAATTATAATTATTTCCTATGTTGACTGTTCCTTAATAATGATCATGTTTCTCTTTCGATGTTTTCAGTCTACTAAATTATATATACATACTTAAATATTGTACATTTAAAATTAACTTACTTTATCACAAATTTATTTCTTTATTTTTTTTCTTTATAAATTTCTATAATAAATTCTCGATATTGCTACACAATATATGTAACTGGGAAGTCACAGGCTCCTGAAATACTAAATAATAATAATAATAATCGTAATAAATAAAATTATTATTATTATAAGAAATGATTGGGTTGGAAGAAAAAACAAAAGAATTAATAAGGCATGCAGTCTATCCATAAATGTACAAACTTAGTTTAAAAAATACTGTTTTTTGTTTAACACTGAGAATTAGAGGATAGTTACAAAATATCACATTTTGATTATTGAACGTTTTAGTAAAGGGGAAAATTAATTTATATAGAGTTTTAAATCAATTTAGAAAATTATTTTTAACACCTTCTTTACAATTATACACACATTTGGAAGACTCTATTTATGTGAAATTTAAACAATAAAAATGAAATATTTACAACACAACACAAATATATATATAATTGAATTTAGAATGTATTAAATTAAATTTTGTGTTTGGATTGATCTTTAGTGTAAGTTTGGAACCCCATCTTGGGTATAGGCCTCCTCCAACTCTTATCGCTGACTTTATTCATTCAAGTCTTCACTATATCTCCATCAGCCAAGGCCAATATTTTTTAAGTCAATTCTTGCGATTTTTAGTTTGTTCAAATTCCACATTTATGGTTATCTTAAATAGCACACTAGAAAAAAGTACCCTACAAGAACTCTATCTCTTTCCAAATATGGTTTTGTAACCTAGTCTAAAAGAAAATCTTATGTAGGTCACATACATTATTCCTGGCGGTACTTTTGCAAACTACATATGACCTTGACACAACATTATTCATGTTTGTATTGTACAATGCTTTAATACCATAAGTATTCAACAGGCTGAGTAGGAGGTAGAACGGTTCAGCGAACTGTTGCGCAAAGAACATCGTCAGCGTGTATTGCGCCCGCGCAGGTCCGGTTTCTGTTGCACTGGAAAGCCCCTCTTGTGCAAGTCTTCACTATTAAATCCTGGTTTTATCCACGAATAGCCGTGACCTAAATAGCACACACTTAAAGTGTTCAGCATGAATGATGTCTGAATCCATGAACGTTAAAATATGCTTATCGAGTGGCTCATACGGCCTTATTATAAAATGTGAACTAAGCTAGTACCCTACTTGTTACCATGGTTACGATGTTATTAAAAAAATGTTAACCATGGTAAACAATACTGCGTAATCTTAAGGCCACTTATTAGAATATAATTAAAAATTTATTGATTTTCATAATCAATTATATTATTATTTTTTTCCATTCGAACAGTATAAATATCGCTAATTCGCACAAATGACATGCGCGTTGAAGTCTTTACTATAGAAAATACACACCAACATACAACAAAGTCTGATTCTGTCTATGCAGATATAATACAAACACTAAAGGGATAACGCAATAGTTATTATTAAGAAGACATTTTTGTTTACCATTCTAACTCTATAAAGATAATATTCTCATTATTAACACATAGATAAAAATTAAGAAATTTATAGCTTTTTAATAATAATGCAAAAATCGAGAAAATAATTACTACTACAAGTATGACTTTGAACTTAGTACTTTTTTTTACAAAAATTCATCTCTATAAACATTACAAAAGTTTAAAAAAATTATGGAAATTGGAGCTTCGGTTTTGTAATGGTAACTTTTGTATTTATGTTAATACGTTATAATAAATTCATAATCCTTATTCCATTTAGATGTGTCAGGAGAAAGTAGGTTAATACAATTATAACCTATTAAGGTAGGACATAATACACGCGGTGTTAGGTAACATTACAGCATAGGCCACAATAATCAGCATGTATTAAGTTTTTGTTACTAAAAAAAGATTCGTTAAGACTATACAGAAAAACTAATATAACAATAAAATCGGTTTTATATAAAGAAAGTTAAAACTTGATTCGTTCTTTCGTATTTTTACAATAATTTAAGTTAACCTAATAATTAGGAATTTTAGACACCTCTGATTATATTTTAAATTTGGTTTAGTTTTATTTAATGAAAGTAATATTATAAACCAAATATATCGACAAGTGTGACGTGAACAGTTATTATACACATATTCATAAAATATAAGTTTAGCAGTTGATGGAAAGGCGAAAGTAAGAGAGATATTTAGTAAACTGCAATATGAACTTGTATATAGAGGCGATTTTTGTATTTTTTCTTCGTACCTTACTACAAATTTTAATGAAAAATTTTTGAGATGCATAATTTACAACACTATAATATTAAAAAATGAGTCTTAAGGTTGGTTGAAATATAAAAACCTACTTAAAATTTCCGAGATCCGTCTGACCTTTGTGGATATCCCTATTGCCTAACGTCTAGTCAGAATTCATGAATGAAATCAAGGGTTGATCAACGGTATCTACGTCATACTCTGTACCAAGATCTTTGAAGTCACGATTTGGTGTTTTGAAGTGTCGCTATAAAATCGCTTTTTACAAACAGCCAGTCATATTTAGACGTCAGTTTTATTTAGTGGTACAAGCCTGCGTCGATCATCTTACAAAATCGGAGCGCATGCATCTTTGCGTTGGTAGAACTATAAAGCGTTGTGGTGGTAGATGAAACCGTCATTCGAACGCAAGCTAAGCATCAGTGAAGTTGTGAAAACACAGTAAATATTTATAAGTGTTATAAAGTGTAACAAAATAATATGTAAGTTTCAGTGCGTGTGTATCAATAGTTTTAATTTTATATGGACCAAAGTGCTTTAAATTAACCCAATTTAACATTTTCTATATTTTTAACAATCTTACAATAATTTATTTAGAACAAATGACAGTTTCAAATGTCTTTTAAAAATATCTTATTTTATTTAAAGTAACTTGTTAAAAAGTACAACGCGTTAAACAATTAGCGCTTTCACTTTGAAACAGACCACGAACAATAACAGGATACAACATATCAAGATCTAACATTTAAAATATCTTATTCTTCTCCTTCGAAAGTTGTTCCCATCCACACTCGTTTTCCATTGAATTCGCACTTTTACTGTTTAATTACTTTATTCGACAATATTTACAAATATAAAAGTGCCGAATTGTATAATGCAATGAATTACATAAACAGACTCTAGTTTGATATTACATCAGAATGTTACGAGAGTTCATGACGCATATTTCGGACGTGCTACTCTTACTGATGAATTTTTACCGGTTTTTTGTTGACATTGACACCATTAATGCTTTCTTTCATAACATAAACAAGTCATGACCTAATTATATCGACTGAGAGGTTCTAATAAAACTGTAATTGAAGTTATTTATATTGGAGTAAGACTAGACTTTGTTTTATGCTTGTTCATTTAAAAGAAGTTCGTTATAAATTAAATGCAAGATTATTTTTGTGTTTGAAGAATTTAAAAATTTGAATTAAAAGAGAACATGAGAGTGTGCTTTCGCATCGCCGCACACAGTCGTAACGGAGCATTGACGTTATGGAAGCTTATGTAATCTTTGTCCGCAAAAGTAAAAGTGATCCTCTACCTACTAGTTTCGTCATCGTATTTACTTCATATGTATAGATAATATTTAAATTAAGCTCTCACGTTTTTATTACAGATAATGCGGTGGTTTACTATATGTGGCGTACTCTTAGTTACGATAGCAAGTACATCCGCTGAATGGTCTTGGAATAATGACGATACAAACAAAGATGTAGATTCGAAGCCCAAATCAACAGAACTCTTACAGGGTGAAGAGATCAGCGAGGCGGAAGACAAAAATGGCGATGGAACTGTTCTCGATGGTATTGTTGATGAATTGGTTAGCAACAAACAGGGAAGAAGTCTAAGTGGATTTGATGACGTGTATAGTGACCCTACTATTAAAGAAGCTTTAGACGCAGGTGATGACACCGAAGCAAGAAATTTAATTAAAGGAAGACTTTGTACGCTAGGCCTTATACAAGTAAGTTTTACATGCAAATAATCAAATTCAAATAAAATAATTCATTCATTCAATGCATAACAGAATTTAATAATCGTTTTTATTATTACAGTGCGAAGATGAAGATACACAAGAAAAACGAACTTACGTTTCGCCAGATGAACTCATTTATGCTCAACCTGTCGATATAAAACCGATTGGAAAACCCGTTGCCTCTATCGCCATTCGTGGTCCACCAAGGGCTTATGGGCCTCCAAAACCTATGCCATACCCTCCACGACCACAGCGATACCCATCCAAAAGGCCAACATATGGTAATAACCGACCTGGCTTTGCTGATAAATATGGAACAGCCAGCAATGCATTCCAATTTTCTCAGAATAGTGGCACGTACGGAAACGATTTTAACTACGTTACTAAACAACCAACCTTTGGAAATGACGGCCCCTACTCATACGAAAGCCCTAAACCCCTATACAATAAGCCATCCTCTCAGCAAACTAATTTGAAGACTGAGTCTGTTGTCCAACAGCACATACACCATCACTACGTGCACGAAGACGCAGCAAAAGATCCAAAAGTTATTATAAAACCAGTAGCAATTCCAGTAGGGTCAGTGGGTCACTTAGCTTCCCAAATTCATAATCAAGAAAATTCAGGCATCATAACAGCCTCCGGATCAGATTTTAGTACCTTAAACGCTGGTGGTTTTAAACCAATGACAGGAGGATTTAATCAAGTCAAACCAGTATATGAAAGTGATACTATTTATGGCTCTCAATTTGGACACAATAACTATAACAGGGAAAACGGAAATATTCAGGCACAGAATCTGCCCAATCAATTCCAGAACAATGCGTTCGATGATCAAAAGTACGGAAACTCGTTAGGATCCTATGGCTCTCAAAATTCAGAGTTTTATAAAAAGGAGTTGCACGTAGGTTCAGGTAACAATGGTTACACCCAAGGGCTAGGACAAAACAATTTATATCAAGAGAACTATCAAACCGGTAAAGCCCAAGGTTTCGAATGCGTATGTGTTAACTACGATCAGTGCCCAAGTCAAGAAGTGATCGGGCGTAGAGATGACCTGTACCTTCCAATTGATCCACGTAACAAAGGCAGTGAGATTTTGGCTTTGACCGAAGATCAAAGTGATATTTCTAACAGTACAACTGAATTGGAAAACTCAAAACAAAACGGCACCGAAGTAAAGAATATTCAAAAACGCGAAGCTAAATCTGATAAAGCCGAGGAACCAGCTAAGGAAATTGAACCGGTAAGCTTATTTACTTTATTTTAAAGTTAATTTCAGCCATGCTTTTGTCCCATTCAAATTACCTTAGCCTCATATCCTTATAAAACAATGAAAGCGAAGACTGGGGTAACCATTCCGTAATTAATAAACCAAAACTCATTGTCAAATTAATCAAGAAATAAATTAACTCATTTACTAGAAATTAACAATATTCTTAAAAAAAGAAAACTTTTATTGGAGTACTGAATTGTTACTACAGCGCCTCCTTGGACTCGCTGGCTATGGCGGCAATGGTGGTAATAACAACAAACAAGTGCAGCCCACGTTTGGTGTCTCGTTTGGGTTGCCCCAGCCTTCCCACAGTTACCCTGTCAACCCTTTCAATGCAAACCCTATCCAAAATCCTTATGGACCGGCACTAAATGGCGGTGGAATAAACTTAGGCTTACTTTCAGTTAATCCGTTATTAGCTGTACAAGTAACAAAAAATGATTATGGCGAAAAGATTGTGAAGCCATTTGTCAATTTGCATGTTACACCGAATGAACATGTGGTTAATAAGCTTGGACATCTGTTTCATGAGAAGAAACATTACCTTTTAAACAAGCACGAACATTATCATCATTATAATAATCCCTATAATAATTTTAATCACCATCCTCAACCTTATCCTCATCCCCCATATAATTTTGTTCCTCAGTATGATTCTCATTATGCTGAGCCTCCTTTATACCCACCTCATGTCGGTCATTATCCCAATCACTATCGCGTTCACCCATACAATGCACCGGGAATTCCTTCCGGTAATGAGGATTATTATGATGATGACAATGTCAACCACGACGACAGTGACTATAATCATGCCAATTACGGTTTTGAAAGGTCTGCTAATAGTACTCATTTTATAAATGACGATAATAATAATAATTATGCTGGCCGTTTCGCATACTCCCGGTCCATTAAAATACCTTCATCCCACCCTAACGGGGCAAACCGGGGAGAACAAACGATTCGTTTTCCCGAGAGTCGAAAGAAGAGAGCCATAAACAGTGAAAATATGACTGAAATTATAGAAGAGGTAAAACCTCCATATATGATTATATCATAGTGTAATTGTTTTATAACATTATATGAGTATAAACAATTATATATTAATCTGTTTTTTTATTCCAGCGACAAGGATACTTCGGTCACAATCAAATTCAACAATGCGGTTCCAACCAAGTTTGTTGTAGAAGACCGCATCGTCCCCAAGCTTCAAATCGTGGTCAATGTGGCCTTCGACACTCGCAAGGGATCAATGGAAGAATCAAGACACCAGCATACGTAGACGGAGACAGTGAATTTGGCGAATATCCATGGCAAGCAGCTATTCTCAAAAAGGACCCCAAAGAATCTGTATATGTCTGTGGTGGTACCTTGATCGATGGACTTCACATCATGACTGCCGCCCATTGTATAAAATCGTAAGTTTATTTTATGTTATATAATGTATTATGTATCTACCATTTGTACGTAATATTTAATTATTCAATAATATATAACAAATCACGGAAGACGAATGTTGTGATTGTAATGAAATGAATAATAAACATATCTTCTTTTGTTTTCAGGCACAAAGGATTTGACCTTCGCGTGCGTCTTGGAGAATGGGATGTGAACCATGACGTAGAATTCTACCCGTATATTGAACGAGATGTTATATCTGTCCACGTGCACCCTCAATATTACGCTGGAACTTTAGATAACGACTTGGCTGTCTTAAAACTGGACCATCCTGTTGAATGGACTAAATATCCACACATCAGCCCAGCTTGTTTACCTGACAAATACACTGACTTCTCCGGGCAAAGGTGCTGGACAACTGGATGGGGTAAAGATGCCTTTGGTTCAAATGGAAAGTACCAAAACATTCTTAAGGAAGTCGATGTGCCGATACTACCTCATGGAGTTTGCCAACAGCAACTGAGACAGACAAGATTAGGATATAACTACGAGTTGAATCCAGGATTTGTTTGCGCTGGAGGCGAGGAGGGAAAAGATGCATGCAAGGGCGATGGTGGCGGTCCTTTAGTCTGTGAACGTGGAGGCACTTGGCAACTGGTTGGTGTAGTGTCTTGGGGCATTGGTTGCGGACAACCCGGTGTACCTGGCGTTTATGTTAAAGTTGCTCATTATTTAGATTGGATCTCACAAATCACAGGGAAATTTTCTCCCTATTAAGTACTGACCCAACTTTCTCCGTCGGGCCTAAATATTGTCAAAGCATTATGATAAGTACCATGTAATTTATTGTAATTTAAAACCTAATTTATTATGTTTCTTTGGATGGTAATGTCCAGAGATGTAAGTAAATGCTTGTGCAGTTAATTTTATATTAAAAATCTTTTTCACTATTTAGTTTGGTTTTTTTTAATTTACTTTTAAACGTACGATTTTGGGAATTTTATATTATAATGTCAACTACAATCAACAGACCTATTTTACAACGCTACATCTATTATTCTTTCGGCAAGACCGAAAACTCACTTCTTTCGTGAATTCAAAGAAAAAATTAACACAATAGTACGTAAAATAAATCTTAGATGGCGTTTTTCACAACTAATATGAATTAGGTCCGAACGAAGTATTTATTGTCTGCTGGAGACTGGGGTACAAAGCCACTTAAAATATCTAAAATTTTACAAAATAGTTTAAACACAAATACCACTATTTAATTTAAACATAGCACATAATTTATAAAAATACAAAAAACATCTTGACATCTATCAATACATATTGAAGTATAATTCAAAAACATAGAAATCAAAGTTTCGTTTATTCGAATTTTAAGGTACATAGCTTATATTTTTAGCGATCATAATACATTTTTAATAATGGCGGGTAAAACCACAGATCGCAAGAAAACTAAAGATAAAGGACCTATTAGTGAGGCGAGCGACAATGCTGCTACTTTTACGCTACCTGATTCCTTACCATGCTCTGAAATTGAGTTTCCCGTACTTATAAAGAGGGTCAATAAAGCAAATTGGAATCTTATAGTTAAAGAGAGAGAGAAGGAGTTGCAAGAAATAGAAGATAGCCGAGAAAGCAAAATAGAGCCAATAATAAAACAGCCCTTTCTTAGTAAGTTGTTTACTACCGATTTTTTTATGATGTATCAAACTTAGTTGGTTACGGGCGTTAGTCTCCGCAGCAGCAAATACGTTTTGTACGGTTTACATATGAAAGATTCCCAATGACAGAAGCTCTTGGTTAGCTCGCTGTTTCATGGGCTTCTAAACACATCCTTCATCTGATTACCATAAAAACAGCTTTCTCTGTTGACGTTTTGCGGAGTAGGTATAGGTACATCTACTTCTTTCTAACAACCTTCTGTAAATTTCCAGTCCTTACAAACTGCAAATCTACTGCTATTACTAATATACTTCTATATTATATTGCCTAATTGCCTACCCGTTAAATACTGTTGAGAAGAAGTTAAGAATTGTTGGCGAGAATAATTTGCCGGTGTTTATACGATCCGTGTAGCACGCAATCTTTCTACTTTTTCGATATTCCTAAAGTCAGTTACTATTACTTACAGTCAGTTAAATTACTGTAATTTAATAAATCATCAATAAAACTGTATTTCGCTTAAATGACACCCCCTACACCTAGATAGCTCTTATTGCAATCTTATATTCTAAATCTTAAATTATAAATAATAATAATGTGTCCTGGGAAATTTAAAAATGTATCCAGAGTCAGCATTCACTCTTGAGAACTACCAAAAGAGAAAAATATACATAGGTGAGGTCTTAGTATATTGCCTATTAGAGATTATATTAATCATAATTTGAAATATCTCAGGGACCGAAACAGATTACATAAAAGACCAAGTATTTGTGTATTTAATACCAGCACTGGAGGAAACACTTAATAAAGCAAAAATATGGGAAGCGCTAAAAATACAAAAATGTTTTTTCAATGGCATTGACAATATTGCTCAGGTGAGTTTGATTCAGAAATGTGTATTTAAAATTGTAATCAGTAGTCTCTTAATTAATTAGAGAGATTAATTTAAAGCGCATGTGCGGCTAAATGATTTACGGCGATGGCGCATAATCACGATGTGTATTTAATTCCCGGTAAACGGTTTGATACAGAAGGCTAATCACTTCACCAGTATAAAATAAGATATATACACAAAATAATAAGCAATTTGTCATATATTTACTAAGCTGCTGTCTTGTATTTAAGATAATGAATGAGTTAAGTTAATACTTTTTAAGGTAGCGGCGGAACTTTAACTACAGTCGCTAGATGGCGCTCTAATAAGGCGGTTCCGATCGGTTATATAAAATATACAAACCAAATCCATAATAATATTTATTATATTGACAAACACACATTATATTGAGATTAGAAATTATTGATCGCAGCTATTATTATTATTTATAAATGTTTATCTAAGGTTTGGTATAGAAACAAATTCAATATAGTAGAAGGCATTTTTGATTTAATGTTTTTATAATTCAATCAACATTAAATGTTTTAGTTTCTGTGGAATAATAACCCAAGATATCCCGATCGTATGTCGAGAAAATCTCATCTATTCAACATGCCATGGGTTCGAAAACAGCTTCAAGAGAAGTACTTACATATTATTATAGAATTATGTATATGTATAATTTATATATATTTAGCAAAGTCGAGACTCTCTTCTACAAATAATATTAAGTAAAAGCAGGTAAAACATGAAAAAACGGACCTAAATATATATTTTTTATTCAGTTTTATAAATTGTTAATTAGGCCACGTCCATACTACCCCAAATCGTGGTTATGGCCTGAAGATTATGCAGCTACGCTCATACAAAAGACTGTCCGTCAGTACTTTGTACAGAGGGAGGACGATGTACAGGAAATGCGTGATTTCTGGAGAGTAAGTTATTTTTTAAACCTAGTAAAGAGTATTAGTTATAGCAGGAGGTTTTTGTTAAATTACTAGCCTTGTCTGATCAATGTTGGCCTATTGGCTTGAGCGGGCGCCTCTCAATCCTAGTCGTACGTCCGAACCACGTATGTGCACCAAAGGAATTTTTGTACTTCGAAATTAATTTTCGTTCGTACGGTGAAGGAACAATCCCAGAGGAAATTCACATGCCTTAGATTTAAAAATCCTTATAAGTATGGGACTGATAGGTAATATACAACTTTTTGAAACTAATAGTGGGTAAATGACCTTTACTAGACCGAGGCGGCCGTACTGGACATCAACAGGACTTTCGATTGCCGTTTCGTAGGTTTGATGACTTTTGAATGATACATGGGGCAACCTAACAGACAGAAATAACAGAAATAAATTGGTATAATAACTATCAGAAAAGGCGCATTTAAATTAAAATACGATTTAGATTTTTTTTTATAGTTTGATTTAAGTTCCAAACACTATGTGCTATGTGGGACTTGCAAGAACGTTGCCGGTTTATAAGAGAGTGATACTCCCTATACTTGAAGACCCCTCGGTGTTTATGTTTGTGTAGGGTGTATGATTTCTAGATGCTTATTAAACTTAGAAAGTAGATTAAATAACTATCTTAATGGACAGTGTAACTGTGGCTCGATTTAATTTTTCTTAATTTTTCAGAAACTCAAAATTGAACAAAACCTTCCTGAGATGGAAACCAATCCATTTTTGGCGAAAAAGTTTGCATCATTGCAAACATTTCATAAAAATAATTAAACTTAAATAAAGAAAGATTTATGTTAATACAACAGTTTATTTAAATATCTACACTAATGGTTACTAAATTTAAAACAATACCTAAGTAAAACTAAGTTGATGTAAAAGTAGGATTTTATTTTGAACTAAACATGTCTCTGATCAAAACAAAAATTAGGGACTTATGCACATTAGACAAGGTGTTTCAGGTTAATATTTAATATCATTCCTTCATTCAAATAAAAACTTAAGGCCATAAAGCTTTACGCTATAATCAGTACATAAGTCAAAATAAAATCCATTTCTGCATGCATTTCCCTCAGATATTGTTATGCATGAACTACTCTAAGGGAACTCCTTTATACAGTGATGGACTTATGGGTTTTCCTAAGCCCATGCCGAACTGGATGGTAGGTTTTTCATCACCCTTTGCTATCCTTGCCACTCTGTTAGGGCTATGTTTGTAGCTTAGTGGCATAACAAATTCTTTTAAGGTCTGAAAATATACATCAAGTCATTATTATATGGAAAAATATAAATAATATTCAGGCAATGGATTCAAATATCCAACTTCTAAACCAATATGTATTTAGTTATAGTTAAAAAAAAGGTAAAATGCCTTTTTATAAATAGAAGGTAAAGAGGCAGGCTTGTGCTGCTTCATTGTCAGAAGGCTTGTAATTATAATTTTTTTATGTTACCTACAGAGTCAAGTTTAAAATGTCAACATGTAATATACAACCATGGATCAATACACAAGTTATGTATATATCAATTCTTAGAAAAAGAGAGTGTGTTAGAAATTTAAAGTAGATTCAAATTCTGAGGGAACTTTTTGCATGTATTACACTCTTTTACTTTCAGTTACTCGCCAGACGCCTAATTAGAAACATTTAAAAAAAGTATCCATAGCTCGTTCTTTTTTGAAATTGGAGAATAATATTTCTTTCTTGGCTTTTTCTATTATTATGGCGGCAATTCAAATTTTAATCTGAATTTTATTTTGTTCAAAATGGGCAAAAATAAAAGTCGCGTCAACTAGGCAAATAATTGTTAATTTACATATAGGTCATAAGTAGGCGTACAGAAGAATAGCTGAGCATTTAAATTATTTTGTTAAGAAAGTTTTTAATGCAGTCGATCATTATAAAACACATGGAACTGTTGAAAATGTTCTTATAGTATGTGCGCTGTCGCATGGCGCGGGTGACAGTTTCAGTAACGTTTCGTTTCAGTCTTGAAAGGCTCCGCGGATTTACAAATGATGACTTAGTATTTCAGCTGTACCACATTCGTAATATATTAAATCATTAATAACTGTAGTAACTTAAATTTAACCCAGCCAGAATGTTCTAGTCTACAAATAAAATAAGCAACGTTAAATAATAAAAATTAAGCAAATGTCACCCGCACCATCCTACAGCGCACAAAGAAAGACAGAGAAGATACGCTAATCGTTCGTGTTGCGAAAAAAGACCCAAGTAAAGGCTGCAACCAGATTAAATATGAAGTATTTTCGCCTGATGATCCGAGAAACATCCCGTTAAGACTGATACGCCGTAGATTAGTGGAAGCTAAATTGTTTGGTAGAATCTCTAGTAAGGAACTACTTCTTACCAAGCAACACCGAGAGAAGCGATTATTGTTCGCAAAAAAAATATGTTAATTGGACGGTACGAGAATGGAAAAAAATTGTTATTTTCAGATGAAACAAAAATAAATATGGTAAATTCCGATGGAAAACCCTATGTTAGACGTCCTGTAAACAATGCTTTAAATTATAAATACACAAGGAGTATAGTCAAGCACGGTAGCGATAACATTAACGTTTAGGGTGTTTTTCCAGATGTGTTAGACTGGCCAGCAAATAGACCGGATTTAAACCTGATAGAAAATCTCTGGTATATAAATATTGTTAAAAAGAAAGTTTTAAACAAACGTAACACCAGTCAAAACGAACTATATGAAGCATTTGTTGAAACATGGATTTCATTCCCCCCAGAAAAATTTATGAAATTGATTGAATCAATGCCATCTTATTACAGTGCTGTTATTGAAAATAAGGGATACGCCACTAAATATTAATTATAATTATAACAATACTAATTACTAATATTTAAAAAATATTGTATTCTAATACTTTTTTGTTGTTTCTAATTAGTTGACCAATAGTTCATAACTTAAAACTGATTTAAATGTTTATTTGTTATGATTGAATATTGAAACTGCACTTGTGTAATGGGATTTACATTGTTATTCTAATAAATGATAAATTGTTGAGCATATTGTTGTCCTATTTATTGTTTAATTAAAAAAACGATTGCGGTGAGGTATCTTACACCTTATCATGTTTAGGACCGTAACATTTCTCATTATACAACCACCACTGTATATTATACATTACAAATGCAGATAATAGCTAAACTAATAGGAATACATACCTTCTGGCAATGTAGGTGTCCATGGGTGTAAGTATCACTTAACCTGAGATGAGCCTCCTACCCGTTTGCCCCATTATATTATATTATTATTTTAAAAAAGTACTGTAAAACTTAACACTCAGTGAGGGGTGTAGAAACTAACATTTCTGGTCACCCACTATTTCATTGATAATTTTTCATTTAACAAACAAAAATTATAGGCCATTGTAGCTTTGAGTTATGGCATACATTTAACCAAGACCAACAAATGAACTCAGGATCACATTCTATTCCTGTAACTGAACGTACCTGTAAACCTTTCTTTTCATGATCTCGAACAATAAACTTTTTCATTAGAGGTGGCATTTCAATAGCATTAGGTAAGATGACATCAGGGTAATTGTGTTCATTAGTAAGCTTCTTGTATAATTCTTGCTCCTCGTCTTTAGATATCAATTGATAATCAGGTTTATATGATGTTCGATAAATTTCTGTAATCTCTGGCAATTTTCTTCCTCTAAAAGTTTTTTCAACCCATACACGGACTCTTCGTCTCTCCTGGAAAATAATTGGTCACAAAATTACATAGGGTTAGATCAAGTTTAGGTTATAAGTTATTGACAATGTTATGTAGATAAACCTGAACTCGTTCGTTGAATTTCTTGTTCGTTGAATTTCGGTTAGAATCTTATAGTGGATTTCCCCTTACCTCATCAGGACAAGTTTCTACTTTGACAATTCTCATAAAACTCGGTTCAGGGTACCTATTAAAAACCTGGCGGACTATTAGTCTTCCTACTCCGAAGTTTTTTAAGCTTCCGACTATTTCCCACAATGTTTTTCCTTTGAAATCGGTCGTGCGGCCAACATATTTCACAACCTTAGTTGTCATTTTTATATTAAAGTTTGGAAGCTATTCAATCTTAATACTTTTGGACGTATTTAAGTAAATTATCAACTGCAAAAATTATTAAGTAATCTCAAAAATCAAAATCTAAACAATTAAATCATTGTTTTTTTTATAACCTGGAGGCGGAGCCTGAGCTTGAACAATTAAATCCTCTACTTTATCCATAAACACTGAATCAGTAATCTGTATTCTGTGGAGTGGAGTGTGGAATGAATTACTATATTACAGATGATTCTGACAGCTATCATTTTTTAACGTCATTACCACTCGCCGTTAAACAACTTTTAATGTAGAGCACCGCACTTAATAAAATGGATACATTAACTTTAACAGTAAAATGTATGTATAGACTCAGATGTTCAGACTGATATTGAAATTGAAAAATGTGCCCGGGCAAAAAGGTTGTCAGAATTCTCCGGAATTAAAAATCAGAGAATAGTGGTTTACGCCTGTCAAACTCCAATTGACATAATATGGTTAACAATGACTAGGGGTCCAGCCAAGATGGCTTAACAGTAGTGTATGTAGAAAGTCGAAAACTAAATTTGTATGAAAAATGACAGCTCGTTCGACAGTCGGTAGCCCTAGGCCCTAAAGCTAGTCGGGATACAATAAGCGACGCCATGACAGTGCTACGAAAAAGCACACATTAACGCTTACGCTATTCGGTAGCCAACGGCCAATTAATGTTTCGGCAGTGTAGAAAAAACGGCGTTTCTCCGCCATGTTTTAGCGTGATCTCAAAAGCTGCTGTTTGCAATAATTCAGTACAACTATCGCCATCTTTAATGGCTACCGTTTTAAAAAACATGACTATATTGGACATTTTAACGAAATGGTTTTAATTTGTTATCTGTATTTTTTTAACGTTCTCGTGTAATTATAATAATTTAAACTAGAGTCAATATTTTTAAGTTAAGAGTTTTAGTTTTTCTATGAATCAATGCGAGGATAACATAATAGACACAGATAAATATGAAAAATATCAAGAAAATCAGCAAATTAGTAGAGGTAAATCCTTTTATATTGGATATCTTTTATTGATATTTATATTGCATGTAAGTTCATGAAATTTTTCTTTAATTTGAAAAAATACATATACCATTTAATATTGCTTATATTATGTAATCACAAAGTAAAATGATTGTACATATTATTTGTATATTTCAGATGAGAAAGCAGTCACTAATGAACATTATTAGAAGTTCTAAATATATTTTATTGTAATTATAATAGAAGCTAATGATATAATATTGATTTAAATTAATCAAATAAAGTGGATTTTTACTTCATGAACTTTGGAAATATAAAATATAGTGAGCAATACTAAGTACTTAATGGTAAGCAGATATTTTCTTTTAATTATTTACTAAGTTAATATACTAGAGAAGTTATTATAATATTGTTAATGAATGAGAAGTTTTAATTCAAGTCCTTTGGGAGTTACTGACATTGTTTGGTTATTAAAAACTTTAATTGACAATAAGCAGCAAAGTGACAAATTAAGTATATTTTTTAAGTTTAGAAATGAAGTAAAGACTTTTAATATTAAAGTTACCTATTGATCAAAGTACTAACTAAAATATTTTATTTTCAGAAAAAGACAACTAAAAGTATTAAAAAAAACACAAATGGACAAGTTTTATTAAAGTCTTATCTTTTAATTAATTAAAGTGTTATATTATGTACCTGAAAATGAATTTGATAATGGGGAACGAAGCATTTTATGAATAATGTAAAAAATAAGACAAGTGGAGTATGAAATAATGGTTGGTTAAGTAACATTACCTCAAGAACAGGAAACAGAAACTGAAACTATGTTCTTCCACATTTAATCTTAATAAGTTCAGCAGTTTGAATGTTAATGAGATATTATTATAAACAAACTGCATTTGTAGATTTTGGGAAGAATTATATCTTCACAATAACTATTATTATTTACAATTGTTGTGTTAAGGAAACAATCACTATTTTTTTAATCGCCCAGGATGTATTCATAGTAACTGTAGGTATCATAGTAATTTTATGAAATCATCACAACATCTAACGTTAGGTTTTATGAATTGAACAATTTTTTGTATATAACAGCACACAAACAAGATATTGACATTGCTGCAAATTAACACTTACATTAGTTAATTATCTACATATATGAATACATCATTAGGTAGTAATGCATTTAATTTGGTGCACCTGCGTGTGTTCAGTAGTAATGTCTGTATTGTTTAATAAGTTGTTACATATGCTTATTTTTCTATGTAGACTGCATTATGTTAAAGAAGATATTTGGTGCCTTATTTTAATAAAAAATAACCATAACTGAAACATTTTTATTTTGCTACCTGTTTGTTTAATATTCCTAACTATTAGTAGGTATGGGTAATTCATATATGCATTATCTGTATATTCTTGTAAAATAAACTAATATTGTGAACCACTTTAATGGCTTTTCCTACTAAAGAAGACATGGTAAATTACCAAAAAATAAAACTGACAAATACATAACATACAATGTTTATTCATTTCTTACTTAAACAGCTTTTGCATTTACATATTAACTAGTAGCAAATCACTGATATAACCAAAAGTTAATTGACATAAATATTAACTTAAAATCAGCATCAAACTTAAATTTATATCTATTATATCTAAGATGTTGGAGCATCAATATGGAATCAAAGGTTGATTAAGGGTTATAATTTCATACCAGACTAAGTTTCTATTTTATAATTTTTATTAATTCCTCTTTTCATTTCATTGAGTACTTGCTGTTTTTCAATTCTCACTTTCTAAAAGTATAAATATATTATAAACAATCAACTTTTATGACTCTAACTTAAACTGAAATTGTTTGTTGGACATAAACAGAGATAATTCCAACTAGTAGCAAATCACTAATAAAATCTACACTTATATATAAATCTGCTTTCAAATTGACATTAAAAATGTTCAAGCACAAACACCAAACCTAATTAAAGCTTAAATCAAACTCTAATTTCAGTGTTCACACTAGTCTACGTTTTTTTTCTATTGTTTTTTAATTCCTTGGACTTTATCAACTTCTAGTCAACCTTATTTTCACTCTTTATTTATCAATCCACAGTACTATTTTTATTGTTTCTTCTAAGCGGTAACAAAATATGTTGCTTCTTCATTTTGTAGATTAGTTGTGAGGTCAAATCCTAAAAATATCAAAGTATGAGTACTACTAATTATTATATATCGCGATTATGCAATTTCAAAATATTGTATTTATTTGTAGCCTTAAATTTCTGAGAAAACATGAAACAAACCATAATTAATTTAAACATGCAATTAAAATTCATATATTCACTTTGCACCTTCCGTAAATTCCACTTAAATCGAAAATTGTTCCGACCTTGCTGACATTCTAATGTCCCTTTTGTAGCTTCCAATTGCAAATTTACAATAATATTGTAAAGTTTTAACTTTTATTTGTTTATAAAAGTGACATTAGGAATACATTTAATCCAGAGACAATATGACGGAATAAGGTGCTACGAACAGCAGCTCGCATCTACGCTGTCGACTTTGCGGTAATGTATCGACATGTCTCTTGGCTACGAACGAAGCGTTTTCGACAATACAATTACGCAAAAGCGGTAGTGTATGTAGAATACTTTTCGACACCAATATGGCTAGACCCCCAGTTCGCTCTAAGTATCTTTTCTTTTTTTTAGCCCACGTTTAAGAAACTCATCTATAGAGTATAGAGTAGTTTTACACATACAGATAGTTCCGTAATCCGTTGCAACCTATGTGTATGGTGTGGATTCTGTGGAACAATGTATAACTCCTTAAGAATCTGATCGCTATCCATATTCCATACACGCCTATATAGAATTAGCCCTTCATGCCGATGACACTGCTCGTTATAACACCCATAAAAAAACTGATATAAAAAACGTCACAGGTGTCATCGGAGACAGACACAAAACCGACTCCACAGTCCACTTAACTAGGCGAATGGTTCCACAAGAATGCCCCATGGAGTTCATATAAACTGCAGATAAATTCAGATAAAGACGGTCGACGAAAGAGGTCGGGAAAAATTCCGCCTCTAAAAAGAAGTAGGTAACCTACGGGTAAGCCATCCAGTCGCAAAGGTCCGTTAAGTAGTCTAGGCCCTAGGGCCTAGGCGTCACACTCGACGTGACATGTCCTTTCGGCAAACACTTACCTGCCGTTCGCAATAAAACCCATTTGACCTTTATCGCCTGTCTTCCTTCTACTCTTTCTCTTTTCTCTATTTCATTAGGCATTATTATTTCATAAATTAAAACACACAACCTACTTAATGTAGAAAATAATAACTTGTTTTATTGTCTGGTTCTTTGCTAATTAATGTATCTTTTTTTACACAACCTCAATTCTACTGCACTTAAGAAATGTATATTAAATCTGAGGCCATGATAATCAAGATAAAACCATTTACCAAATGTAATGTTTGACGATTAAGAGAATTGGGTGTTTAACAATCAAAACAAAAAAGAAATAATGCTTATTTCAAAATCAACTTTATTTATTTTGCTCCTTGGAATTAATAGGTACAGTTAAATATAATTAGTACATAAACAAGTTCAATCTGCAATCAATATTTAAATGCAAGTCAGTTGTAATGTCATAAATGTTGATATTTCCACCAATATTGAACTAAAAGACCAATTCTAAATGCTGCAACTGTGGTATATGAACTTAAATTAATTCCGGTTTTAACTTTTGTAATTACAAATATTTTTTTAAGCAAGACTTTTTAGCAAGACAAATTATTTAAAGATTAAAATGATCCATTACAAGATTGTTACATGATGTTTGTTTAATCAAATAACAGTACTAGTTTCATTTGGTTTTCAATCTTCCCGATGGGTTTGGTTATAGTTTATTGTATACATTTATTATTTTCGTTCAAAAGTGCCACAACAGACTAAAAAGAATTATCTATATTTTGCTAATTTGAAATGGATCTAATCCAAAACAAAGAACCTCCTCACAAGCTCAGGCAAGTCAAGGCTGCTGCTGTTCTTATTTTTTTTAGGAAATCAAAAGCATTATATACTTATATCTACATAGGATAAGCCATGACATTAAACTTAAAAATCCAATTAAACTCAATCCTAATTTATCATTCTACTATAAATAATTTTAATAAATTATAATCAGCAAAGTCATGTTAATTTAGTGCCCTTAGTGGCTCAATCAGTATACATGTGAAATTTTCATTAACTGCATAATATGCCTAACACTCTCAACAAGAAAATTGGAGAGATTAAAATAAACCAGACAAAAGCAGAGACAAACTAGATATAATTGAATCAGTCTCACAACTTTTGCCCAGTTTCATTACTTCTTAGAAGCTATCCATCATTCATTTGGTCGATTTCTTTCTTCAATATACCACTGCCATTAGAAAACAACTTAAAGCTAGCAAGAATAGTTGTTTACAGTCGTGTACACCTACAGAAATCAACCAATTTCCTACATTTATAAATAAACTGTACAACAGTCACATTCCGTTGGCAATAAATAAATAAATATTAATTTAGCTACAAAATTATCTAGATACCAACAGGAATGGTCTTTGTGAACACTCAGGTGGCAAATAACAAGTCCAATCTTACTCGAGGCGCGTGGCCCATAACATTAAATCTAAACAATTGCGACAAATATTTACAGATCACTCCGGCTATTTAATTAAAGACCTATTATGATTTATGAGTCAGGTTTGTTAGGAATCAGTCAATTGCCTTGACACTAATCGGTTGCATTCTCGCGTTCTCTTCCTCGTTCGGAAGTGTTTAGGAACATGTGGCGCCCGCTTAGCGGCGTTTCTTTGTCGTGGCCGTTGCAAACTTCGGTTTCCGCTCAGGGCACAGGCCAGTCAGACTCTGATGAAGGCTAGATCTATCCTAAAGTATGCACTCGCCGTGCAGCCCGGCCCTAATGCGACTCGAGGCAGCGCACCGACTGCGCTCTTAAGTCGTGTCACGGCCGTATGTGCCGATACGCACCTCGTCAATAACTCTACTCCATTCTAAGGCGTACGACTCGGGGTCTTCTAAGTAGTATGTGCGGTTTGGCTGCAAAAAAAAACACCGTTTAATTTTGTATGTAAATTGCGTAACATATTTTTTATGAGTAGGTAATAATAACTGAAACCTTATTTAGTGTATGTTACAAGCAAATAAAATTTTGACGAAAAAAAAACTATGTCAATTTCGTAAAACAGAGGGCAAACATTAAAAATTCGTAAAGATCTATTGCATTTCTAGTATAAGAGGAATAAATTACTTACTGTGTGTAGTAAAAATATTCTGAAATTCTTGGCCTCAACACGTAGATCTGGCGACCATGGAATTTCACCCTTTAAAACCATATTTACAGGATCTACGTAGAATAATCGTGGCCCCGTTGTCAATAAAAGCATCCGCCGTCTTGCAAATAGACCTTTCCTCTTCTCTACCAAACCTTGCTTTAAAATCAACTCCCCATCTACAAACTGATGCCATTTATTTTCTCGTGCTTGTACCTCCAAGCGTCGTCGTCTCTCTTCTGAACTTATATTTAGGATACCTTAAAAAAAAGGAATAGTTAAATTTGTATTACAATTCACAAAATAAGACATTACAAGATTAGAATATATTCTAATATATTAAATGCATGCTAATAATAATTACCTCTTGAAGTCGAAAGGTCTATCTCCCACAATCGGACTAATTGATCTTTGCCTAAACCTGGTTCTAAGTGGTCTGGTACAGTGTACTCTTCTTCAAATGATCCGCCAGGTAAATAAGGGCAGATAGTTGGTGGTGTTTGGTTCCATACGTCATCCCAATCGATACCTTCAAAGAAAGGGTGTTTGCGTATGCTTTCATATGTGTTTCCAATGTCAGTGGCGCCAAGACGTTTTGAGTGATCGAGAACTAAAAGCTTTTCAACTAAATCTTTTGCGTCAGCCGGAAACCCTTCAGGAAATTCGTAATCCATTTTTAATATCTTTTGAAATGTCAAAAATTCTGTTGAAGCCCTAAATGGTGGGAGTCCTGAAATCATCTGGTATATAATACAACCTAAAGCCCATAGATCCGAGGCACGTGTATCGATTCGATTCTGCAATAGATCTGGGCTTACGTATTGTGCAGTTCCAACAAAACTAATCTTTCTTGAGCGTTCATTTGACTGATCATCGCATTTTTCCTTTGAGTCCTCATCTTCTTTGTTGAGTGTTGGTCGGATATCTTTAGGATTGAGAATTTTAACTGTACCAAAATCAGCTATTTGAAGATGCATACTTTCGTCTAATAAAATATTTTCAGGTTTTAGATCACGATGTATAATTCCTTCAGCATGCATCTTTTCTAAAGCTAATAATAATTCAGCAGCGTAGAATCTAGCCACGTTTAACTCAAACGAGCCAACTTTGTTTATATAATGCAGTAGTTCTCCATTTTTCGCATAAGACAAAACAAAATATAGCCTTTCTTCATCTTGGAAAGTACAATATAGCTTTACGAAACCATGGGGCACATGGAACAGCATATTCAAGGCGTCTTTCTCTCTTTTAATGTATTGAACTTTTTGATGACGCACAATGTGACTTTTTTCGCAAACTTTAACTGGAAACAAAAGAAAATAATCAAATAAAGAATATTAACATAAGAAAGAATAATAAATGATTTATTCAGCAGTTCAAAACTTACTTGCATATTCTTTTCCCGTGTGAATATCTTTCGCCAAAAATACTGTGCTGTAGCAGCCTTCGCCGATTAATTTGCCGAATATGTAGTCTTTAGCTGTTCTCTTCGTATGTCTGTGAGATTGGCTGGAACCGTGTGTAGATTGCGGAGTCAAAACAGTAGTAGCAGCGGCCTGAGAAGCTTGCATCTTGGGTGATTCCACCAATGACTCTGTTGTGGCTATGGGTGCCCGTACCTCACTGGCAGCTCGGCCGTTAGACTGTAACAAAAAATTTACAGTTAAACAACCTGACCTTGATTACTTTTAAAATAACATTTAGTTTAGTTAGCGGTTCGCAGACCAAATATTGAACTAATATGTGTATAACAATAACAATAAATTATTTTTTATTTTGTTAATTATTAATTCCTTGGCTTCTGCTTTTAAAGTTTGACTTAAGACGATATCTTCCTAAGCACGAATCATGCCATATTTAAAAATGATGATATTTTTAAATCTTACTACAGTTTAATTCAACAAATATGCGAGAAGGAATGCCGTCTGTGCATGAGTCACTAAATACATCAGTTGAAAGGCGCTAGTTAATGCGAAGTAGAAGGAAGTATTACATTCCGTAGTGAGTGACGGTAGCAGTGAACATAGCCCCAACGGTACTCTGAGCGCATTCTCATCGCAACGCATTCCGGAGCCTTCGCGCACCTACACCATGTAGGTACTTGACCTCAATCCCATCCATTCAAGTCATTAATGGTAGTGAAGGCGTATGGGAATTCATGAGCGTTTGTATTTCCCCATTTCAAGTACAACACACTACTTTATTGCACGCGATTTGTGAGTAACAGATAATTTGAATATTGCAAAATCTATTATAGTCATATCCTTTTAAATAACGGTTCAACATCCGGTTCAAGATAAAGGTATTGAATTCAGAAAGGACATTTCAATTGTCAAAACATAAATTAACATAATAATATTCTTGAGTTTTGGAAAATTCTAATTTTTGCAATAAATAGATTATAAATTAAAATAATATGACTGTCAATTTTATAGACAGTAGTGAAAAGTATTTATATTTTTTTTTAAATGAAAAACTTGAAGCTTAAATAAAAGATTTTCTAACCGGGAGAACTAATGAATGTAATTCAGAATAATAATAATGTATTATTGCAGTTGTAAACAAGTTGGTCACGCCGTCAACGCGTGAAAAAACAAGTGCGATGGCATGTCAGTGCCGCGCCCGCCATCGATGTTTGCATCACGCCAATCAAACGCGGCGCGCTCCTCGCATCGACTGTGTTTGCGGCATATTGCCGTGTTGAAATTTACACTATTCGATGCGAAAGTTCCTATCAAAACATGCAGCGAAAGTATGCCAATTACTAATGATCATAAAATTTCATATTCTTCCGTTATTTTACAAATATTTATAACAACGAATAAAATTTTACGTATTACGCACTCATATTGATTTTCCTCGCCAAGTAGAATGTGTTTCATGGGGTATATTTAAAGGATGCGCGATGCCGTTGACCTTACCTTCGCTTTTGGTGAGGACTGTTTCCCGCGTTTAGATGAACTGACACCAAGGAGTTTTAGAATTCTGTTGGCTGCTTCCAAAAGTGTAGCACTGCCCCTCGATCCTCTTTTTACTCTTATGGTCAAACCACTCATTTCTAACCGTCGCATACAATGTTTATTCACTCCGTGTTAACACTCGAAGCAGTTTTACCACGTTCACAGTTTATAAAATGTCAATTATTATTACTATTAAATTATTATTAAACACTAGAATAAATTAGGAATGCAGCTAGATATACTAAACAATTATTACTAAATTTTACTATTGCACACAAACACGACCGATCGACTGGACGGCGCGTTGCAGACTAAACTATTTAACAAACAAGTATGTACAGCAACGCTTGACGCAAGCGAAGCATTGACTACGTCCTCAGCTCGGTAGACGGAATAATCGTGATTCGTCGTAGGTACGTATAGGCTATGGCGCTGTTATGTGGAGCACCCGGCCCCGCGCCTCCGCCCTTCCGTCGATGCTTTAGCGCGGTGCATGCTCTTTACAACTGGGCAATTCATGCCCTTATCAGAATACAATAAAAAGATGTTCCTATGACCTAACATTAATTGTAATTAATTCATTCATATTTTGAAGGATGTTTTTGATTAATTGTTTTGCTTAATATGTATGTATTACATATGATTTTGAAAAGAAACTCACGTTAAATTTTATTTCTATAAATATAATTTGTGTTCTTATAAATGGGAATGTGTCATAGCATTCGTATTACTCCAAATTTTATCACAAACTCCAGAATGAAATTATAGTGCATGCTGCCATAAGGCAATACGTAAACGTATCAGTCGTATATTAAGAGCCAGGTGTTTAGGCCTTTTTTTTATACCCCTGCAACCCCAGAGCTTCCTTTAAGGACATAATAACGCGGTGTAATGAACTCAGCACCTGGTTCTTTCGTTTGATAAACACACCTTGCAAGCTACACCATTTCTTGCCATCGTTTTGTTATCGCGGAGATAAGCATTAAATAATATTTATTTTTCAGTTTGGAAATAAACAATATGAAAAAAAAACGAGAACATTTTGATCTTTACAACAGTACTTATTTGATCTAAAATACTGTTCGTATTTTAATCACCTTAGTTTAATGTAATGATTTTTTATCTATTTAAAGGATAATTGAAATTAAAAGCTTTATAATGATTTCTTGGTACATATTAATAAAAGTAATTAATACAGATTAAAATTTAATGAGGGATTCTGTTTGAATAATAAGCATTTTTAAAGATAATAAGAATTGTAAATAACCCAATTTAATGATATATGGTAATTGACAAAATTCAAGGGCTGTGTTGTTTTGTAAAATATGTAACAATACTTTATTTTTTGTATTAAATATATTGATATAATATTAGTCTGTACTGTAAATACATTTGTATTTACAAGGATATTTATAATTGAAAAGCTTTTACTTTAAGATTTTACTTTTTATGACAAATTTCAAAAGCTTAAAATATTCCATTCATACCTTAGGTTCCAAATTCTGGGCTTTTCAAACAACAAAGACAAAGATTCTTATGAATGTGTATTGTAATAATTATATGTACAGAATGTGCAAACCCTATTCGCAACTATGTAAATAGGTGAATGTATAAATATAATTTTGCACTTAGCGACAACAATCATTGCACTGCAATAAAAGATTATTTTACATGCATATTTATACATCAGCGACGTTCATGGACGTTCAATGTAGGTTTAAATGTTAACGACACGTGTAAGTTGTTTTGATAATAATTATGTGAACGTGTAAAGTCGGTTCTCAACTTCGTCGATGTTCATAAAGATGATCAATTTAAAAAAAAAGCATTGTTAAGTGCCTATCTGATACCAATATCCGCTGTTTGACTAGTAATTGTTTGCTTCTAGCAAATAGTAAAATCTAAAATTGGAAGTGTAATACATATTTTATTTTTTTAATTGTTTGTAACATTTATGTTTACCATAATTGCAAAGTATTTTTAGAACTTATACTGTAGATATAGTGTATATGATGTAATGAACTTAAATAAATATAAAGTTATACAATGTTAATATTCTCTTATTATTGAACACTCATAAGGTTATCGTATGCAATAAAACGTTTGTTTTTTATTTTTATAATTTAGAGCAACTGTTTTTCCACATCTGAACGATTTTTAATGTAGTTTTTTTCCGCTCACCACCACGTTGTGAAACCAGAAGCCCACCGAATTATTTCCGAACTAATTAGACTAAGGGTCCTTAAAGAAAAGCGTACCAATTTTTAAAAGGCTAGCAACGCACTCTGGCAATGTGAGTGTCTATGGGCGGCGGTATCACTTATCGCATCAGGTGTTATATAAAAAAAAGGTGTAATGCATGCAAATCTTGTAAAATAAAATAATTGTAAATTAAAGCATAGCAGAGGTTTTTTACTAGTTCTCGTCCCTTCTACCGGCTGGCCATAAATACCAATTAAGATTAATTGATTATTTTTTGACGTATACAATAAATATATGAAATAATAATGTCTATAACATGCCCTATTTCCGATCCGAAATTTTACCGATGGTACCGTCTACCATTACATTTACAATGTAAATATTAAAGTTTGAGCTAGTTTATGGTGTGGGTAATAATAGGACATTTAAACGCGGTGTCAACAGTCACCGGAAACCCTTAACGTGACGACTTCCTTCCGGATAAGTTTAGAGTTACGGTCAGGATAGTTATCAATATCTTCATTATATCCTATTAATTACATAATATCTTAGTGTGTGAGGGTAGTTTTAAGGTGGCTACTTTTAACTTTTAGCTATGTAAACAATGGGTGCTCCCAATAACGGTTATCTATTGTCATGGTGATAATGCATTTAGCCAACGGCGTGTCCTGTAATTATATGTACTATTCCTACCGCGTGGTATTTCTAATTTTGCGTCGATGCGGCCCGTAATGACCCCTAGTTTCTCGTTTCTGTACGTCTGGCGTCTGGGCATCGATCTTTAAAATTTTCCCAATAGCCATCTTACGTCTCGTGCCTTAAGAATAAAATTGCAAAGAAACCAAATATGACTCCTATAAAAACGGCCTCGCCGTCCTCGGAAAGTGCATTGATCTTGGGCTCGTCCTTCTGTGGCACAAAAATCGTTGCACGGGATACAACCGTCCTCTTTACTTACATTGTCGTGCCCTTACGTGTGAGAGGGATAACACGCGTAATAGACAGGATGCGCGTACTGGGCTGCGGGCAATACACCCAACGAGCGCAATGAACGGTCGCCGTGGTTGAGTACCTTACTAGCTACACGCGGCTTTTTGGCGCCATAAGCATGGTTAATATACTATCTAGACTACCTAGACATGACACTAGATACACAAAAATTTAAAATTAAAGACATAAGAACGTTGTTAATTGATAACTTAGTTACGTTCGGAAATATTTATAGGGTATACCTACGTATTTATTGTAGAATTATAATTGTTTTAATATTACTACGCAATACCCACCAAAGTTATTATTACAGCAAAGAATATAGGACTATAATTCGATATAGGGAAAACAAACATCGTGGAAAAGGCGCGAAAACCTTACAAAATGGCGGCGACCACGTGCTCTTTACACATGCTGTGCGGCAGAGCTTAGAACGTGCTTTTTTTTTTTTTTTTTTTTTTTTTCCTTTTCCCTTCTCTTTTTTCCCCTTTTTTCCCCTTCTCTTTTCTTTTTTTTTTTTCCCCCCCCCCCCCCCCCCCCCCCTCCTTCCCCCCCCCCCCCCACCCCCAAAACCCCCCCCCCCCCCCCCCCCCCCCCCCCTTCTTTTTTTTTTTTTTCCCCCTTCTCCCCCCCCCCCCTTCCCCCCCCCCCCTTTTCCCCCCCTTTTTTTCTCCCCCCTCTCCCCCCCCCCCCCCCCCCCCCCCCCCCCCCCCCCCCCCCGCCCCCCCCCCCCCCCCCCCCCCCCCCCCCCCCCCCCCCCCCCCCCCCCCCCCCCCCCCCCCCCCCCCCCCCCCCCCCCCCCCCCCCCCCCCCCCCCCCCCCCCCCCCCCCCCCCCCCCCCCCCCCCCCCCCCCCCCCCCCCCCCCCCCCCCCCCCCCCCCCCCCCCCCCCCCCCCCCCCCCCCCCCCCCCCCCCCCCCCCCCCCCCCCCCCCCCCCCCCCCCCCCCCCCCCCCCCCCCCCCCCCCCCCCCCCCCCCCCCCCCCCCCCCCCCCCCCCCCCCCCCCCCCCCCCCCCCCCCCCCCCCCCCCCCCCCCCCCCCCCCCCCCCCCCCCCCCCCCCCCCCCCCCCCCCCCCCCCCCCCCCCCCCCCCCCCCCCCCCCCCCCCCCCCCCCCCCCCCCCCCCCCCCCCCCCCCCCCCCCCCCCCCCCCCCCCCCCCCCCCCCCCCCCCCCCCCCCCCCCCCCCCCCCCCCGCCCCCCCCCCCCCGGCCCCCCCCCCCCCCCCCCCGCCCGCCGCCGGGCGCCCCGCGGGCCCCCCCCCCCCGGCGGCCCCCGCCCCCCCCCCGCCCCCACCCCCCCTCCCTATACGCCTGTACCTACCAAATATCCACTATCGCCGCCTAATAGATTGTTACGTGAAAACCGTTACATTACTATTTCTATTTTCCATTGTAACATGTTGCCTTAGAAATCTTTCGAATTATTGATCGAACAATGTATGCACATAATTGTGCAATATTTTGTACAAATTAATTTAATCACGATTTTGTCACGTTTTAATAACATAATACGCAATCAACATTGTTTTTTATGAAAAATATCGATAAAAGATTAGCCAGCCTTAAACTATCTATTGCAACGGAATTGATTAGAAGAGTATTAAAAATCATATCGCTTACTTTTGTAATAAGGTGTTGATTGGTTAAAAAGCAAAAATTTAAAGTCAACGCTCTGTTTAGCTGAGAATTTAGGCGTGAGACTGTAAATGATTCAGGGGAAGGGAATGCATGTCAGACGGCGCGCGTCTACACTATATACCTACTTGTATGAGGGTCGTTTCCCGCGTTCGTTGCAACTTTGCAGCGTTCGGAAAGCAACATTCCATAGATTCTTTATTTTTGTCTCGGTGCGGAGTATAATAAAATGAGAAACACTTTATACCTACTTGCCACAGAACTTAAGACGTGAAAGTACAATTGT